TACAAGTTTTAAAAGTGGTGGGTCATAGTTGTTAGTGATAATAGTCGTGGGTGTAACACCCCCCAAACAAGCTAGATAAAGAGGCTTAACACATGCAGATCATACAACAAAACTAGCACAGCGAAAGATAAAAACGAGAACTGGATAGAAGAAATCCAAACGGGTTGTTATGCCATGTCTACCAAACACGGTAAACGCTACGGCGCTCAATCTGCAAGTGTATACATCTATCCCAAAAGGTAACAGTCTAACACTACAACGGCACACAGGCCACAAAACAAAGGTAAATATACTAGACTACCAGCCACTAACATCGCGCTCATCTAGACATCACCTGAAAGATACAAAGATAAACATTGGGACGACGCCCGGTCAGCGATAATGCTGTTAACCCACCAATACCTGTTAAGTATCATACATAGGTAGGGTATATACAAAAATCATTTCGAAACGGAATACATATATATAAGTGTAAAACCAAGAGTAAACACCAACTCAACACTTAACACTCATCAACAAAGATACGGGAACACATCCCAAAACCACAAAGGATAACCACAACGCAAAGGATAAAGACAAGACCGATGGAAACACATGCCCTTGTGACTACACACGTCACAAGAAAGAGAACACACAACCACGGCTACACAAGCCCTCATGACATCACCCGCCACGAGTTGATATGCCTTCCTTATGCCCTGTTCTAACCATATGGGTACCCCCAACCTTGTATCTGCTTTCCAACCGTTACCTCCAGGACCCCCTGTACTTCTTAGTCCAACCTTTTCCCTCCTGGGACCGTCGTTCCCCACCAACAAACCACCAACAAAACCACCAATTCATAGTACACGAGGTACCGCACACGCACATGGCACACATGCCCGGATAACACCTGTATCCCCCAAAAATGTGAACCTTACACAAAGGCCACAAATGTAACACCCCGAAATTTTGGAACTTTTAAAACTTATATGATAAAGGTAATTTCTTATAAAATCCCAAACATAGCATTACTAATTATAAGTGTACGGGGTGATATGCCACACCCGAGCTGGAGAACTCAAGTGCACAGGCTAACTAGCTAATATCCTTAATAAAGAGAATGCATAACATGGCATGCAGGCCAAAAAGGAAACTATCTACTTCTACGCTCCGAGGTTCTAGCGCGCTCCCTTACTTACTCTTCTGTGCCTGAAAGCCAAATATATCTGTTCAGCGAGAGATGCTGGTAACCCACTCCAACTCGTTGAAATATAATACATATAGAGATATATATAGATATACGAAAACCATTTTGAACATGAAGATATATCCTACGAACTCTAGCTTTTAAAACAGGGATAGACTCGACACATAGAGCTAAGCACAAACGGCAGTTATAGCAAGCATATATAGTTCGCAACAGGCAACGTAGATAAGGCTGAGCATAATCAATAATCATAACCCAACATAAACAATCCCCAACGTAAATCCCGTAGTCACATCCCCAAGATACTCATAATCACAACTCATCCATATCTCATCACATAAGCACACTTTGTTGGTGCCACAGGACCAATCGCATGCCCATACATGAGGGTCAGCGCATGTAGCTCTGACACGGCCCCGCAGCACCCTGCCCCGTCTCACAATGCGGAGGGGTCGATCGCAACCGACCGATGAACCGCAGCTCATCATAGTTTGATTGCAACCAAACAGTGGACCGCAGCCCAAGATTATGTCATCTGACCGCAGGCAGGAAAATGAACCGCAGCTCATGTAGAACGGTGGACCGCAGCCCTATATAATATTTATATACCTGACCGATCGCAACCGGCCTGGTTAATAGTCCGTATGGTTCTCAACCCATCCGACTGCCCGTATAATCCATTTGATCGCAACCAAACGGTGGACGGCAACCCTATATAATGTTTATATACCTGACCGATCGCAATCGGCCTGGTTAACAGTCGGTATGGTTCTCAACCCATCCAACTGCCCGTATAACCCGATTGATCGCAACCAAATCGGGGTAACATGCACATATAACAAATAGCAAGCACATGCAACCCACATTAGCACATTCGGAAGGGGGGGGGGGGAACGTATAACAAAACCTATGTGTGATCCTTCACATACTAAGAATAATCCTAAGGGGTTCATACTTCTTTCACCTAGGTCAACGGGATACCAATTCAACTAGCATGTAATATATAAGACTTATACGACCTACGAACGGTACCTGTAATATCAAACTAGACATAGGCACGATAGACGGAGTCCGTTAGGACACCACGGGGGTCGGGGGAACATCAAACGGGGAAGCCAAAATCCCGAATTGGGGTGCAAACCAGCGGGCAGCCGGTGGGTGAGGGTTCACCCGCCGGCTGCCTGCCGATGTTACTGTTTCGGGCAGCGGGTGTCCGGCGGGCAGCTGCCCGCCCTCCAGCTGCCCGCTGCCGGGACTGCCCATCTTGGCCGCGGGTAGGTGGCGGGTCCCCTACCCCCACCTACCCCCCAC